ATATCTATAAAAATAAGTTGCTTATACCCAAAGTTTAGGGTATTATAAATAGTTAAGAATTAAGATAGTAAGTTGATTATATTTTGTTTACTGAAATAAGACTTTATAAGGTTATATATCATCAATATCGACGGAGAATATTAAAATTGCTTTTGTATTTTTCCTAAAGCCTCTTAGTAAGGTCATACAAAGTTACACATTCCACAAATATTATGAGATCTTGAATCTCCTGAACTCTGTGACTTGACATCCCCTCCACCCAACCCAGAATTACCTTCTGGAAGAAGTTTTCTCAAGCATCTTGCGTAAATTTGGGGAGAAAGAGTTCCATGTGAGCAAAATTGCATTTCTCTACTTTTTTTTTAAACCTTATGAAAGTGAAGTCACCAAAGTTATACCCCGATTCACTATTTTAATTGTAGTTTTTCACCATTTTGTATGTCATTTTTTTTATTATACAGTAGCAACAGTAACTCTTTTAAACCTGCCAAAATTTTAAACACCTTCTTTAATTTGCTTTTGGATTACATCAGAATTGAGACATTTTATCCTTGTGATTGACCAGTTTGTGGGGATGAAAAGCACGTGTTCCCTGGGGGATATACAGATATAAGGATCAGAAGCAACCAAATTGGGTTGTAAATCCACTTTGTGCCTTTGAGTGTTGTTGGCATTTCTATCTTGATGTCTTGAGTTGATAGTCATATGTGAGCAGCAGCTCACTGCATACAAAAGAAGCATGATATTTCAGATGTAAAACCACACATATGTTATACTCATTTATGGAAAAAATAAGTTCCTGGTTATCTTCTATAGATGAGTTCTATTCTGCTAAATTAATTTCAATTCAGTTTCTACCTTTGAGTAACTGCATTTTAAATCAGGAAATTCTAAGACTAAACACGCAGTAGACATTGTAAATTCTGTGAAGAAAGAAACATTTTTTAAAAGGCTTCCATATGTCAAATCTATGCTTGTTATTTTAAAAATATGTATATTTCTCCTTTCATTTTTATAAAAACCTTAACAGAGAGAGGGATGAAGACACAGACTTAGCAGTTTTGATGCTGTAATTGAAATGGAACTAGGTCTAACTTTAACACTCATGTGCTTACTACATTACAGATGAGTTTTAGATGTTGAATTTAATTACTCATATAAAATCAACTTTAATCTTTATATTATGAAGAGTTTGGCATAGTACTTAACCACATAGTAAATACTGAACAAATCATATTTATTGTTATCTCCATCATTCTATTAGATGTTTCTCTCCCCTCCATTTTTCTGTTCAGTACCTCTTTACTTTTCTTATTCCTCCAGTTTCACATTAATAGAATGAGAGTAGGAGAAACAAAGAGGAGAAAAATGAACAAATCTGAAAACAAAAGAAAAATGAAATATGGGAGAAATGGAGGTAAGGAATAATGCTTACCTCACAAGGTGGCTGTTAATTATCACATCAGATGTGTTGTATTCTTTGTTTTCTTTCCAGGTCATATTTACATATAGCCACATACAGATTTTGGCAGAGATTTAAACTATTAAATTATGAATGTGGGCACCCGTGTCCTAGTATACAGATCTACCAATCACTTCCTTTTCTAACCCTTCTTTTCCCAGTAAAAACATTTCATTCATATTGCTTCATATTGAGGTGGCATCTTCTGCCAAAATACTTGAGTCTTCTCACGGCATGAAACATTAATAGGTCCAAAGTGAAATTCACTATCTTTATACCTTGTCCACCAAACGTATTCTTTACCTCATTTACTCTCATTCTTAATGTAATGCCCAAGTTCCAGTGCTTAGGCAAAACGTCTTAATGTCCGCTTTGATTCTTGTCCCTCTGGGTCCTTTTCTGTTTCCTGAGAATACTGCCTCAGCAGTTCTGATGTGTCTGCACTGCAGGCACGTGATCCTAGCACCTTAATTAGTTCAAACCTGAGTTCCACTTCCAGCTATTCAGCTAGCAGATCTTGTCTTCATCTCTTCATTCTCAAACTATCCTACATATTACTGGCTTCCTAAACAAGATTTTACGACATTAGTTTTCTCTTTAGAAGCCAACAGTGATTCCATGTTCAGGATGCTCTTTCTAGATTATGGGTATCCTTTCCTTATTCCAACCGAGTTTCCTGCTAATATACTTTTTTCCATGTAGATAAAGTTCTTGTTAGTTGATACTAATGTTTTAATTCTATGAAGCATGCTATATTCCAGAATTGTTTGACATGCTTCATATTCATTCTGTATTCCCATTTTTCAAAAGTTAACTTTGGGCCTGTAACTAGGTCAATGCACTCAAAATCAAGATTGACTCTTAATGAGTACTTAATAAATACTTTCTTTTTCTGCATTGCATTCTCCTTTCCCACACATCATGCTTAGTTCTATCCCTTTGCCCTTAATTGTGGTGTTCCCTGTTTCTAGAATATTTTTGTCTCTTCAGTGTATGCAGTTCACATCCACCATCCAAATACTAACTGACTCACTTAGTTCGCAAGGATCTTTACTATTGTCAAAATCCTGATATATTTATAAGGAGTTCTGCATAGTTTATCATGTAACTATTCTAATCAGTTTTGTCTTTCAATTTTTCCAAAAATTTTAACAGTGTTATAGCAGTCAAATGAATATTTAATTGTTCAAATATTCATTGAATTGATAAAATTTTCCTGTTTTCTCAAACAGATATTTACTTTCTGGAAGGTTTAGTCCATGTCTTAGCTTTTTTCTTTTCTCATTGATCTCAGCAATGTGCTTGGCACTTACATAGTACCTGGTGATTGGATATGGAAGAGTACAGGCCATCAGTCTTTTGGGACTTTCATGAGAAAATATTTTTTCATAATGTGAACCTAGATTCACTTCCACCAAAGGGAATACTATAGATTCAGATACAGAAGTGTATTAAGTAGGTAGATACAGAATGAGATTAATTATCTGTGTCCATTTGGAGATATTAAAGGCTGTGAATTTTGAGCACTTACTTTATGTAAGGCACTGAACTAAGTGTTTTGCATTCATTATCTTAGTCCTTAGAACTAAGTTCAGTTGTGGAGTAGATGATGTAGCTTACCCTCAGAATGGTTATACAGCAGCTGTAGGAACAGATTGTATTTTAAACCAAGGTAGTCTTGATATTAAATATGTGTACTTGTGCTACGTATTGCATATCATCTTATTCAGCATCATTTTTGTTGGAGTTTTCACTACTGGAGAAATATCTCCCTGTTTAAGTTCACTAACTTTACATATATTAGATGATACTTGTTTTCAGTAAATGTTAGCCTTTATTGTTGCCATTTTTCCAAATTACACAAAAGTGTTCATGACACTGTCTTTTGCCTTATGCAAACTTAAGTTTAAAGGAGAATCAGCTGTTTATTACTTATGTAAAATCTGTGTGTGTGTGTGTGTGTGTGTGTGTGTGTGTGTGTGTGTACCTGGGGTTTCATAAGGACAAAGAAGATTTAGTGAGTGAGAAGTAAAAGTGAGGTACTTGGCTACTGTTTCCAGTCATCTCTTTATAGCAGGACGCCTGCACAGTGTATCTGGAGGGAGTCTTGTCTGAGGTCACTAAGGGGAATTAGGTGATGGATGTCAGGTATCTACAGTGGTTGGCAATGTCTTAGAAAGGATTTTGAGTATTTATCTACTTTATATGTCTTTATGCAAGGAATTTATATCTTTTCAAGATCCATCATGTCATTTTTCTGCAAATTGGAGAATGATAATCATGGAAGGCACTAACACTCTAGATTTTATTTTTGTGTATACCATCCTTGTGCAGTTAGATATGGAATTTGAGAAATAAAACTTCACTGGAGAATAATAAGTTAAGTGAAAAGTGAAAGTAAAACACATTAAATTTTTTTAATTTTTAAATTTTAAATTTTCATATAATTTTAGACTTATGGAAAAGTTACAAGAATTATATAAGGAACTCTTTTATACTCTTTAGCCTATTTTAAAGTAGGGTTATATATTTTTTTAAAAAAGGTTTTCTCTTCCTCTTAGCATTTGCAAATTATATAATAGATCATATTTTCAGTGGTAAATTATAATTTTGTTTGTTAACTGTAATTTCTTCTCAATTTTATTGAGATATAATTGATATATAATATTGTGGAATTTAAAGTGTACATGTTGACTTGATACATGTATGTATTGCAAATTGATGATCATCATGGCACTAGGTAACACCTCCATCCTGTCACATAATTACCACTTTTTTGTGTTGAGAACATTTAAGATTCTGTGTTTAATTTTAATGCTTTCTAAAGGTTTTTTCAGATGAAGATTTCCTCCCAGCATCCTGTTTTCTTATAATTGTCTGGCTCTTACATTCAGTTCCTTGCTCCCATACCGAAAACCTCTTCACAATATTCCCACAGATCCAAATTAAAATATTTATCTGTTTTAAAGTGTAAGTAAATCCCAGTTTGGAGTTTGGGGCCACAGTACTGTTCATTGAAATGAAATCAGGTACTATTTTAGTAGGGTTAGAATGCAAACATCCAGACAAATCCCGAGTGTAAAGAATCTAATTAAATAGGGAAAAAAATGAGCCTTATTTTACTTTGCAGCTATAGAATAATATTCTAGTGCCAAACAGAAGAGCTTTTTATGGTTCAATTTTTAAATGATGCTTGAACTTGACTGCATTAAACTAGTATAATTAAAGATATTTGTAAATTTAATATCCGTGCTATTTCTTAGTTAAATCTTAGAATATGAAATTAAATATTCAGACTAGGATCTCAACATGTGTACTGTTTTCAATTATTCACATTATTGTTAACATTGAGTAAATTAATTGGTGAAAATGACCTTGTAAAATAGAAAAAACGTGCAAGGTATTTTTATTTCATTTATAGAAGCTAATAGGAGAACAAAAGCTGTTTATTTAAATAAGTGAATAAAGGAGCTATCTGTTTTTTCAATATTTGCATGGAATTATACAGAATTTAATTTATTTGCATTTTTAATTTCAGATTCAAAACGCTAATGATGTATTAATTGCTCCACTTGAGAAATTTCGCAAAGAACAGATAGGTGCAGCAAAAGTAAGTGCTACATTTTATTATTCTTCAGATATCATCCTGATAATTAAAGATGACATAATTTCGTATGTTAACATTTTTGAAATTAGAATGACCTTTTAAAAATTCTGTACATCATTTTTAATTTTTGCACAGAGTCTGTTACAAAGACTGGAATTCTTTTAAGCATAAAAGATATTCTTGTATTGAATACACAAAGTCAGCATGTTTTGACTGAGTTCCTCCCATCCCAACATTTGTGGGAAATTAACTATTTTAAAGAGAGTGAGGTTAAAGTAAAATTGAGACACTTGTTCCTAACTATATAAAATAAAAATTAGGTATTGGGTATTTCAAAAATTTAGGTAATAATAATAAAATAACTTTCATTATTTTTTGTTGTTTTTCCTTATTAATAAAAATGTGTTTGTGAAAAAACTTTAGACATATTTCTCAAGCCTTTGCATTATTGCTTAATTGATTCTAGACCAGTTATAATTTCCCTGAGCCCAGTAATTTCTGAAATTTATTTGCATCCTCTTTCTTGGATCTATACCTACACTACCCGGGCAACATTATATAAGGACATAAAATTTAGGGTTTCCAAAACAGAACTCATCGTCTCCCATCCTTCTTCCATCTTTTCTCTATTTTGGTTTTCTATTTAGTCAATGACATAACCCTTCCCCATTCGAGTAGTATTGTCTCTTCTACTGGAGAATTATTTTTCCTTCTTTCCTCCATCCCTTCTGTCTGAAATACTGAAATAACTTACGAGTTGGTCTCCTTACTTTCATCCTAATCTGTTAACACATTTTTTTCTGTCTTTATCCTTCTTCCACAATGAAGCCTTCAGTGGTTCTCCTTGAGAGATGGTTTAATTTTGTAATGAAAGCTTTCCACAATGTGCCTATTTGCAACATTTCAGTATATCTCCTTCCTCAGGCACAATTGTCCATTCATCTGTCTTTGTATATACTCTGAATATGTCCATGACTTTGCCCAAACTTTTCTCTCCCTGGAGTATATTTTACCCTTTCTTGTTGAAGTCTTCTTAGCTCTCTATGGCTTCATTCATATCCCGGCACCAGAAAGAAGCTTTCTCTCTCAGAGAGAGAGAGAGAGAGAGAGAGAGAGAGAATGCACACACAAGTGGGGGAAAGGGGCAGAGAGACGGAGAGAGAATCTAAAGCAGGCTCCACACGCAGCACAAAGTCCAATGCAGAGCTCAATTCCATGATTCTGGGATGATGACCTGAGCCAAAATCAAGATTAGGATGCTCAACCAACGAGCCACTCAGGTGTCCTGGTCTTTCCTCAATATTATTTGTTCCCTTTCCAGAATTGATTATCTTATAGAATCAAGTAGTTTTTATGCTTATTTCCTGTAAGAAGCTAACAGTCTGTCTTTATTTAGAATTTTGTGTGCATTTCTCTACTAATTATCAAGTCAGGGTCTAAACCAGAACCATTTTTATGTTAATTAATTCAGCAGACATTGATCAATATCCTAGTTGGCCCACTTGTGTGGCAAGCATAGTGTTTGTTAAGATTAAGGGATACAATTGTAAACACAACAGACTTGCTCTCTGCACTGTGTCCCTTATTATCTTTTGTGGAAAGCAGACACCAAAGTAATTACAAATACACTGAAGATTGTGATGCAAAAGTTAAGTGTACTTTGTGAGAGTGTAATTAATAAAACTGACCATGTCCAGAGGACGAGGAAACGCCTTCTGGAGGAAGTATTGGTTAAACAAAGAGCTAAATGATAAAGAAATAGCTAGAAATGGGGGTTCAGAGGCTAGAAGGGAAGATTCTTTCATATTCCCAAAGAGGAAGCAGAGTGAGTATAAATAAAGGCCTTAAAGGAGGATAGAGCCTAGAATTTTAGAAAAAGGTCGAGGCTATTAGAAATATAGAGGACCATGGAGACAGATGGCATGCACATAGCTTTATTAATGGTCCATAGTATTTTGTTCCTTATTTTTTTTTTTTTTATGTTTTATTTATTTCTAGGAGAGAGAGAGAGACAGCTTGAACAGGGGAGGGTCAGAGAGAGGGAGTCACAGACTGAAACAGGCTCCAGGCTCTGAGCTGGCAGTCAGCACAGAGCCCGACGCGGGGCTCGAACCCACGAACCGCGAGATCATGACCCAAGCGAAAGTCGGACGCTTAACCGACTAAGCCACCCAGGCGCCCCTTTTGTTCCTTATTTTAAGGGTATTGATAAACCAAAGAAAAGTTGTAACTAGATGAGTGATGTTATGTTTGCATTTTATTTTAATTATGTTTATTTTATTTTATTATTTTTATTTTATGTATTTTTTTATATTTGCATTTTAAAATATCCCTCTAGTTGCATGTCATGCAGGGATTGGAGAGGGCAGGACTTCTCTGTGAAAATAATTTGGGGGCTATGGATAATGACTTCAGATTCGGAAGGTAATAGTGGCTGTGGAGAAAAAGGGATGTATTTCAGAGGTAAAATAGGAAAGGTAGGAAATGGGTTACATACTGGGAAGTGAGGAATAGGACATTTCAGAGATTACTCTTAGGGTTCTGAGTTGCATAATTGGGTGATTTTGGGAGCAATTTACTGAGATAGGCAACATTTGTGTTTGGGTGCCAATAATGAGTTTGGCTTTAGACATAATGAACTTGAGGTTCCTCCAAGACATCCAGGAGGAGATGGATTAGATGGAATTCTAATTCCAATCTGTATTAGAAACACACATTGGGAATCATTGTCCTCTAGGTGGTAATTATATTCATGGGTAAAGTTAGATTCCTTCTGGGAAAGAATAGATTGAGAAGAGGACCTCGGTTCTATATATTCTGAGAACTCAACATTTGATGTTTTGGGAGAGAAAAGCAGGACAGGTAAGGAGGTTGAGAAGGAAGGGCAGAAGAAGGAAGAAAATAACAAGAATATGGAGCATGCTCAGAGCAAGGAAGAGTCTTTTTTCCAAGAATAATAGTAGCTAATCTGAATTGACATCTATATTTTAGGGGTTTTCACGGAATTATTACATCTGTGACTTATTAAATTCTCACAAGCAGCCCATGATGGGAGTACAGGTATTATACCTGCGTTTACAATGAGGAAAATGATGAAGTGATCAATCACAACAGATGACAGAGCAAGAGGTCAGACTGTGTATCTGAAATTAAGCCATTTTACCTTGGAGCCTCGATTTACAATGTTTCACTTCACTGAAATTTTTATAAAATTAAAGAACTTTGTGAAAAATTCTTTAGTGCAGGATATTCCAAGTATTTTGGCCCATCTAAAGTAGATTTTACTTGTCTATGGGTTATTCTTATTTAAAGGTTTCGGTTAGGTATAGTTAAAAGAAAGTGAATAATTATACCTATTTTATTTTATCTCTTTTTTACTATTATTTTATTTTTAAATATCTCAGTTGCTGGACATAACAGCTGAAAAACACACACAATGTATAATGCCTTTTGCCTAGTCACTGGGAGGTGTTTTAAACTTGCTGTTTAATGAATTCAGATGAAATCTTGAACCTAAAGATTACTGCGCTTGCTCTTTTGGTTCTGGTGATTCTGTGTACTTTATCTGCCTGATTCTTTTAATACTAAATTGTAATCTGCTCAGTAATCCTTTTTCAGTAAAGTGAATAAAAAACAGGCATTTTCTTCTGAACTATATGTATAGGTCTGTTTTATTTTGGTATTGTAGAAACATCATGGTGGAAATAAAATATTTGAAGGAGTTTATTTTTTTCTATTGCTTTACTCCCTGTTTTATTTATGTATTTTCTTGGTAAATAGAGGTAATTCTACAGATGACACTTTTATAGTCCGTACAATAGAGGTTTCCAGCAAGTGTTCAGGCTGATGAGCTGGAAGGCAAGAATGTCAGTTAAGTGTAGACTCTTCCACTGCAGTCAGTGACCTCCTCAGCTTGGGCCAAGTGGAAAATGCTGAGTCAAAGTAGCCCTCTGATCACAATCTGATGATCCTATTTAACTGAAGTGGACAAAGTCTACCGACCACAAACATTTCCTTTTGTCGTGTGTTTTGTGGACTTTGAAACATATGATACTTTGCTGTAGAACACGAGGCCCTGTGTGAGTTACAGTTGTGGGGAAAAAGCACCCCTGAGATCCATTAGGAAAGATTAACAATGGGGGTTGCTGAACTAAAAGATAGAGATGGTTCCTATTTTTGAATAGCTGAAATTATCCGTAAATAGTTGCAAAACTGTATTTATTTAGAGGTTCTTAGTATGCTGGTGTATGCAGACTGGAATTGTTTGCAGGCCTGACATATTACATGTGTCAGAGTATAGAATTGAATATTTGTTTTTTTTCTAATTATATCCTGTTACACTGCTAATTTCAGTTCTAGAAATGAGTAGAAAATTAGGTATTCAGGATGATTAATACAAACTAAAATTTTCATGATATAAGTATATCCAAAACAGCATTATAATAGAGAAAAATGAAATGTAATTTGTTTTCACCTGTTTTATATAAGTTGACAACTATATTTGGTTGCATTCAAAATCTTAACCTTGTTTCCAGTGAGAATTCATTTTTAAGTTCTATCTATACTTGGCACACCTGTTCCTACATAAACGGGTGACTCCAATGTATAGGTAGAACTCTGTATCTGAGTTCCTACTCAAAGGCAAATACATTAGGAGAAATAGTGTAAACATACCTACGTACTGGCCTGTTACATATTTTAGGAAATGGAACCGGCTTTCAAGAGATCCAGGACTCATTTTCCACATATAAACAGACTGATCAGCTGGTTATTGCCACAGTAAGGATTAGAACTCAATTCCTTAGATCACTGGTCTATCAACTCCTCTATTACTCTTCTTTAGAATACTCTTTGGTGAAAATATTTTATTTTTGTTATCCTTAGCAAATGATTTAGTGTGCAATGTATCTTAATTATAAAAATGTTTCAAGTATTCCCACTTTGTTTGTTTCAAACTTGCCCACTTTGAATCAAGCCCAGTTAATGCATTTAATTTGATTTTT